TATTTTAAGGACTTACAGTGGTTACGATTTCCAGGAGAGATTGCTTTTTGCCTATTTCGCAAGGGCTGCTACTAATAGGTGTCTGTTTTGTTGAACGCATTCAATTGGGTCATAGTTTCCATTTGTTTCATCAGCAGAAAGTGGGATAGACCGAAATCGGGTCAATTGCAGAAGACATGATCGCCGTTCGCATTTCACTGCTGCTAACCTCTTCTTTGCGACTTTATCTCTTTTCCCGTCCCGAAATCCTTCGACTTACTGGCATCCGTTGCTCCCAAACATTAGCGTGTTAATGCGTCTTGATTCTCTCAGCACACTTTTCGAGAGTCGATTCTCCCGTGGTCCAAAAGGCTGTTGAGATCGGAACATTGGGTGACCTTAGGCGTCTGTTCCATATCACGAATATGTTCCTTCTTATGAAAAGCTTTTCCAAGAAATTTGTATAATGTAGTTGATATGGAAGTGGCGTGGAGGGGGTCGTTCGGCTCGTATAGGAGAAGTCCTTAAGGACGCCATGGACATTCAAGATGCGGGGATATTGTAGTGGCAACGCATTCGAAACTACGTAAAACATCTTTTTTTTATACAAACTACATAAGGGGAGGGGAAGGAGAGAATCCACGGTAAGGACTTTTCATTTTCTCCAAAGTTTCTGGCTTCCTGGACTTAGTCCTAGAGGAAGCCCCTGTGTCTTGCAAAAGCATCCATAAGTGTCTTCAAAATCTGCAGAAACGATTATGTGAACAGAGTAATGAGCCCGAAGAGCGCAGCGGGATCGGTGCGAGCTCTTGGGCAATGGTCTGTGGGATCGTTTCCTCTGCTTGTTCACTTCTTTGCTTTTGGCGCAGCTTGTCTACCAAGTGCTTTCGTGCCAAACACGGGGGGGGTGTTCGTGTCCAGGAGGCAAGACTACTCCCAAAAGCACTTTTCAACCCAAGTCCGAAGTTGTGATCAAACTTTAGAAGTGGGATCAACCCTTCAGCTGTGCTTCTGGAAAGAAAGAAAATAGTGTCTTGATAATTGCTGGCATCGCCGCAGGAGGAATCAAGGAGATCATTTTCACACACAAACGCTCGCTGTGATTATCAGCGACTGCCCTAACGTAGGTCAAATTTTCGGCTTTTTCTTTGGAAAAGTGTTCGCAGAGGTATATAGTTAGACCTTTGAGCAGGGTCAACCGTCACGTTGGACCGATATTGGAGCGACGTTGGACCGATGTGTTACAAAATCATTACTCGTGACGTAGACACTTTTCGCATATGTGCTGCGGATGTTTAAGGTAACAGCTGAAACTTCCTAAACTGCATGTTCCCAATTTTTTGCTCAGAAGTGGGTGATTTTACAACGCTAAAGTGATGTATGGGCTTCTAGCAAAAAAAAAAACCCGGCTGTCGCGACCGGTGCCCCGAGGTGGTGGTGGATGAAGCGCATCGGTGGCGGAGCACCGAGGACACGGCAGAACGGGTATTAGAAGGGCCCGAACACCCTGTCCTAGGGGGATGCGTCGCGTAAGGAATGCTCTGACGACTGTTGCCCTGCCGCGAGCCTGGTGAGGCCCTCTCCCCTATCTGACGACCTTACGACCGTGCTGCTAAAGATGTGTAGATATTGCTACATAACAGAACACTAAGTATTAAGGTGATTTATACTAATATTACAATAGATGCGAGACTACGTTATATAGAAGGAAGAGAGATGGGAGAACCTACGGGCACGATCGGAAGGATAAGCGGCGGAGTGGTATGCGACCGATCCGTTGGCTGTCGTAGATGGTGTTGACGGCAGCTCCAACCATGGCTGAGGACTCCACGGACACAACCGCTCGGCGAGACGACTGGACGACGACTGCTGACAGACGAGCGCGGGCCAAGGCAGAGATGCAGAGCACTTCCCGCACTTCTGGATGTTGCATGCGTTCGAACCATGGGAAAGTGTCTGCGTCCGTGGGAAGGCGTAGTATTTCGTCCTCCATAGCGTGGGAACGTGGCTGGAGCACGGGAAAGTATCGGCGCATACCTTGCACGTTGAAAAGGTCGTGACGAGAGTCGCGACACTCCCGGCGCCAAAACGAGATGACCCTGCTACTGGCGCAGTGCTATTTGGAGGAAATGTGGAAGCAGTAATCTGAGACACAAAATTTTGTCGCCGTGGGATTAAACATAGGACCATTCCTTCACAAATTTTTGGCCTTTACGTGGGCGCTCAGCGAAAGTGGACCTCGCTTTTGTAGGCCACGCATTTGGTTCTATAAAATGAAGATGAGTCACAGCGGGTGTCTTGAAAAACGCCTGCCAAGCCCTGTAAAAATGCCTCCCCTGTAAGAAGAAACTTGCACCATCATAATTGCTTGGCACAGCAGCTTAGCTTCTGCTTCTCACCGATTCTATTAATTGTGCGTCTCCACGTTTTCCATTCTCCTGCCTATCGTGAAATGATTTTTCGATATCTACTATACTTATGTGCGCTTTCATTGGCACAATGTTATGAAGAACTCCCCGGCTTTTCGAATAATGTTGCCCAACGACTGCTCTACAACGGTGAGAAGATGAAATTCGGCTTGGGCACAGTCAAGGACGCGTACGGAGCTGCTCCATTTTTGCAGGTATCCTTGGAATATTGAGAAAAGGCAATGCCTGTCAGGCTCCATAACATTCTTCAGATACCAATGGGTGATGGGAGTCAGCTTCAAGTTCCAAAGGCGTTCTACCATTATTCCGAGCGTGACATGGGCGCCGAGTCGGGATGGGGAATTCCTAGTGGTGGACGTCTACTTGGTCTCAATACTCTGGTCAAGAACAACAGACGAGAAATCAACGGCGTCTACCTACCTCTTCCCAACATGCAACCCATCAATCTTCATTTCATAACACAAAGGTACCGATCTTCAACTATGGCTCAAAGACTCTTTGAATTAATTGAACTTTTACAGGACTTTTGAGAAAGGAATCGACACCTCAGCACACGATCAGTCGCCAGACGGCACTCTTCAGGCAGCTAAACGGTATTTTTGAATAAACATGAGATTACTCTCCAAAAAATGAAAAAATATGATTGTTTCCCATACGAGTTGTGGCTGGCTCCGGTTGTCATAAACTTCGGGCTACCACTAGAAAGTGGCAGTCCTCACTACCAGTCACTGTCACAGATGGTTTCGGTCTCCTTTTTCACAATGTTCTCCTGCATCCTTTCGTCGTACCGCAAGCAAATGTGGTGTAGTGGGCAAGTGGTGCCACCTACCACGCGCACGTTTCGGTGGATCGAAACCTGCCTAGGCCAGCTAAGTCCTCCCTCCGGGTCCGTTGTCGAAGAATTGCCACCAGATTAGTCTGGTAGAAGAAAGAGCACTGCCTTGAACATCGACTGCGTTCCGCAAGTCAGGTGTGGGCCTTACGCATTCAAAAGCGATTACGATCCCGAATGGGAGAGAATGCGTAGCTCAAACTCAAGGTATTGAACGCGAAGGGCTCCAACGCCGCGAGTTTTATCCCTAGTTGATGCCCTTGATGCGGCTACCTTGTCATTCTGTAGATAACCACACACCCAGTCACAACAGAAAGCACGATCTAATTCATGAAGTGAGAGACAGCCGCTCGAGAGTTGCGGTAGGTTCCCAGGGAGCCCATGGTGACTGATCAACTGCTGCTACGGCTGCAATGCACTAGCGCTACCATGAGTGAGCTACCTTTTCGAAGTTTCTTACCCACACAGCACTGCAAATAAATCGCTATTCGGTCCTACAATCTCTCATTTCTTCGTTCACAAAAAGTTAACACATTGACGACAGCACGGGATCCAGACGTAAGCAAACCAGCCCTTTTGGCGCTTCGGCTGGGACCGTATGCTGAATGTTGGGGAGGGGATGGAGTCCCCGACGGTGGACGGACCACTTCAACTCGGTCCTTAGAACCGCCACAATTTTGGTGCTTACCTCAGAACTAAGCCTTAAAGAGAGGACGGGTCCGTCCCCTCTCCAAGGCTTAGTCCTGGGGTGAGCAAACCAGCCCTTCTGGCGGAGCTGCTGGACCAGCTGCACCACTTGCGTCAGTACTCTCCTATCGTACCAACCGAGTTGAAAGTAAACCGTCGACCGTTGGGGACCCCATCCCCTCCCCAACATTCAGCATACGGTCCCAGCCGAAACGCCAAAAGGGCTGGTTTGCTTACCTCCGGATCCATACTCGCTACCGCTCGAGAAGGCTCCGTTTGTTCGATTTGTGCCTACATTTTCACCTTCCCTGAGTGGTCCATATGCATTATCGGCTGCACAAAAAGTATTACAATTTTTACCAATAATAGAACTTGATGAAGAAATACCATCGATGAAAAATTATAAAAGGCATCTATACGCACACCAAACGACGGTCGTAAATATGTTGAAGGGGATCAAGAAGGAGTTCTAGATTAGAATCCCTTTACCTGCGTTCTGCGTAAATTGAATCTCTCCGAGCAAACCAACTCACTCGAACAACTGACTACCAGGAAGGTCTTTCAGGGCGTGACGAGCTTTTTGAAAACGGTCTTTTGCATGATATAGGGGCAGATGCGGGGACCACAGAACCATGTTTAATTTTTCCTGAACGGCCCTCTGAATACCAGAAAAGGGGGTCCCTAGTTCGATTCCTCTTGGTGACAAATTTTTGCATTTCGAGTTGACGTTCCAAAATTCGCGCAAAATGGAGTTCTGATTGTTCTGGTTGGTTCTAACTCCATTTTGCGCGAATTTTGGCACGTCAACTCGAAATGCAAAAATTTGTCACCACGAGGAATCGAACTAGGGACCCCTTTTCTGGTATTCAGAGGGCCGTTCAGGAAAAATTGAACATGGTTCTGTGGTTCCCGCATGTGCCCCTATATCATGCAAAAGACCGTTTTCAAAAAGCTTGGTCACGCCCTGAAAGACCTTCCTGGTAGGCTGACACCGTAATCCGCATCATCCGTTGTGTTTCCAAAACACTGAGCGTAAGCCGAGTTTGATAGGGTCACCGAACAGAGGAATGTAACCGTTAGTATCCACAAAAATTTGAGGGGCTCATGTTCTTAGGCGGGACATTCAAAACAAGGCATTTGGAAACCGCGGAGGGACTAAGCCAAGGAGAGGGGAGAAGTGCCAGAAGCGCATAGCTCATTTTTCAGAATCCTTTCTCCTCCCTGAGGCTCAGTTCAAAGTATTATAAGTGGCTCATTCACCTGAATGTCCCCCAGCCCAATGAAATGAGCGCTAAATTTGAGATCAACTGAAGTTTTAATAAAGAAACCACCACACTCGAGAATTCCAGAATTTGCATGTTGGGTTCGGAGAGTGACTGTGAGCGAGCTTTGCTGCAATACCACCGAACGAAGGTTCATTCCATTCAACAGCAGAGGAAGCCTCTCCACCAACAACTGATAAACCTGGTAGGATCACGACCAATTCCTCGAACATGCTTTCATTTTTCGGTTCAACAAGGGGTAATTCAAAAGCATCTTTCCAGTAACTCGCACGTGTTTGAAATGTCCTACGATAAAGTAACGCGTGTTTTTCAGGGTGACTTGACCTCGTACTCGACACTTAGGGATCGAGAAGGAGGCGGCATGGGAGTTGTGGTCGGAGTTCCCGGCTATGATCCGCTCTATGTTGGAGGAGCCCTTTGAGGCAGAACAAGGATGGAATTTTGGCTTCCAATTTTCTCCTCCACAATGAGCCACACAGATGCAACCATCGTGCTTGTGGATACTAATAGCTAGACAAATAGCACTGCCTTAATAATTTAATAATGTATAAATTAATAAATATTGCAATCTTCTTGAAAAAAAACATTGACAACTCTAGTTGAAAGACCTTTGGAAAAACTAACAACGAATTCACCAAAAATAACTGCGAGCATATTTGGGAACATGGCCCCAAGTGAAACGCGACTTATTCGGTCAGGCTAAGGTAAAACGAATCTTTTGGTGAAGCCACTTCGTACAATCACACCGTGATGTTCCTTGAGATTGTGCTGAGGATATGAACTATAACAAATAAAAAGCTAGCTGTACTCTCGTCTTAGGCCGATGTCAGACTTTGCGAATCGCGCGATTCGCTAGCGTCCGCGGTCGCGTTGCGGTACCAGCCAATTGAGTGATTCACTGGCCGCGACGCGACCGCAGACGCTAGCGAATCGCGCGATTCGCAAAGTCTGACATCGGCCTATGAGGAGTTGACGATTGAAGTCGCCAATTGAATTAAGAGGTAGAAGCGGACAGCGATGTCGATATGAAGGAAAAACCATGAGAAACGGGAACTGGGGGAATGGGATCCTTTCCTGGCCCGTTGATTTCCGCATTGATTGCTACCCCCCTCATCCGGTGGCTTACGCCTGTCAATTCTGCTAACCGCTCTCGTCGCCCGCCCTTGAATGGCCTAAACGCCCCGCCGAGGGCTGACGCCACTCCGCATGGTCGTGCCGCGTGTGATGTGCTATGCCGGGGGGGTGTAGATCGCCGCCGGGCGCCATATCGTTCGCGGTGCGAATCGCCTGTACGTGTCTCGCACGGCAGTTGTCAAGGTCTGCCCTTCTTTTCCAACAGGATACAGTTTCCCCCATCCGTTATGGCACCTCCTTTAATTGTGTATCCTAGACAGCTGCATTAATAGCTGATCGAAATTAACAACGAGCATGAGACGGTTCCAATATCCAAAGGAACAGCCTCCACAATCGAATGACGTGCCCGCATCTTTAACCAACAGCGATAAACAATTCCTGAGACTTTCCTCTTTATTTATGCCGTACACCATAACAGCGAATGCACTAACAATCCGAAAAATAAAGCACGAGACTCTCTCCTTCAAATAGGTTCAAATTGACGTGACGCTGAGGCCCCTCCTTATCGGCCCCGATTGGCCTAGTTATGGCATTGTTGTCTATATGATTACTCCTACTGATAAGATAAACAATTCAACTGCACTACTCGCTAATTCGTTTTTTTCCAAGTTCTGCGAAGCGCCCACCCGTCGGACGCAGCGCTAAATACTTTCGATCGATAATGTCTAAAACTCGTTCGATCCCGTGGTTTCCGAGTCACCAACCGTACTCACGTCGCACGTTGCCGCCTGCTTTTGGCCACCCTCCGTACTGGTGAAACATCGCACATTATCGTTTTCCTGAAAAACCAGAGCCGTAGCGTCTATTTTCCGATTGGCTCACCTGAAAAAAATGCAAGAGTATGAGTGAGTTCCCAGCTCGTCAGTAAGCAGCACTCTTCCCTCTAATCGTGAGTACCTCAACATTCCTGTAACAATCCAATTCCCCGCTCATCGCTCGGCCCACATGACCGAATGGCAGGTATCACACCCGACAACCCTTCCTAGTCTAAGGTCACAATATTCTCCATATACTCAGCGTATTTCATCCTATACATCTATCCAATCGCCTATTCCCGCTCAGCCAACAATGTCGAAGTCGCTTCTCTTAACCATTGGCCGACCGCTCCCGATCGAAGCATGGCTGCTGAATATCAGTCAGCAGTTCACCTGCTCACACTCAGCACCCCGACCAAATCTCTAGCCGCACCGACGCCTTAGCCCCCCCCAGTTGGCTTGGCCCCAACGTAGACAACACCTCTCCCTTTTAAGGTTAGTAAACCAGAGGTACCGTCCCTCGAAACACGGCTGTAACAGGAGCGAACGGACAGTAACCACCTCGGTGGAAGCTAGTGTAGCGGGCAAGTGAGCTGCCTCACCGCCGCCGCGCCGATGTCCCCCAAAAACAGCCACCCTATTCAATCCGCTTCAGAGTCGGTTAATTGGTACCGCCCCGAGACTTATGCGCGGAGGAGTAAAAACACTTCATGTGGGCAAATAGGTCTAGGCCAGAAAAACCATTAGGTAGGCCATACCTCACCTCAAAGTGTCCCCTACGATACTGAATGTCAGTGCGCAGATGCGTGGCGTATCCCAAAACAGGATTGGTTGGTGCGGAGAGCTTTGTCCTTCGTCTTTATCCTTCAAGTAACACCTACACTATGTATACTAATACTACACTTGATATTCTGCACTGCGAAAATTGAGAAGGGCTCTATAACCAGGGAACTGTGGATCGTTTAGAGAACGACACGGCTCACACGTAGAGCAAACTGAAACTTACCTTGGTGGACAAATCGTATCCCTGTCGGAATAAACGAACAACAGATTCTTAGGTATGGAAGGATGGTCTCGAACGAAGTGATAAGGGGTGAAATTGGACAGACTCATGCCCATTTGAGAACGAACGAACTGCTGAAAGAGCCTTAGATTGCTTTTTTCAGCTAGTGAAATCGAGCTAAAATGACTTGACTGAGCCAACCAGTAATGACAGACTTCTGCGACAAACATGCGAATTCCCATCGTGAAGTAGACCTTCCACACCCGCCTGACAATCAAAACTGGATATTGATGGCAAGGTGGCGATCTTGTCAGCGTTGCCTCTCCCGCCATGGTGTCGCAAAGGTCGTGAAGGCTCCTGGACTGGATGCTCTAAAGCCATCACCGGACAACTGCAACAAAATTGACAGTCTGGGGAAGTTCGCACAAGTAAACATATACGATTTCAAGCACCTGTCAAACACAATTCCGTCGCTCCTTCCAAGTACATTCAATTCTGGGATACTGTAGCATCAAAGAGCATACCGTATAGACAGCATTCATACTAAACAAATGCAATGCTAGGCGAGTGTCAGGGCGTTCGAGAACCGTGCGCAGATCTCCGACAACACCAGAAACATCTCTCGAATACTGAAGAAAAGCTTTTTAAAATTTCAGTAGACAGTCCCCCCAGCCACACCACACGATTCCCTCCCTTTTTTTTGGGGGGAAAAGACCTCTCGTCGATGGCCTGTGAATGGGACTGGTGAATCGCAATGTCGTAAATCTGAATCACCATCTATAAAATGGCCTAAACAGAACGTTTTCACAATTACCCTTCTTCTCTCATAGATTTCAGAATACTTCGAAAGGTGTTCATCTCGTGCCGCTGCCCATCCAAGCAAGAGTACCGTTGTTTTCTTCGATGAGACTGGGAAATTGGTTGAGGGAAAAGCTGGCTCCACGAGCACGCTGACCGCTTTTCGTAAATTCCTCATACTCTGAAAGCTTCTATTTCTATTTTTAACAACATTGGTGCATTGATAAAAACGAATACCAAATTCCTATTGATTGGGATGTAAAATGGAAGTAAGAAAAATTGTTGATCAGAACAGAACTATGCAGGAAGAGAGAGAGGAGAACAGCGCCACTAGGTAAATGTCGTCAGCAAATTACGTCAAAACACAGCCTGTTTTCCACCACTATCAGACCAGTCAGCCGCGACTTCTATATAACCGACCGTTGCATATGATATCTAGATCACTCGGACTAAATTAACCTCCAAAGATCAAATTAGTGTGGTTCTAGCCAACGAAAATGGAAGCTTGCGAAGTGGGCCACCAAAAAAGGGGAAAGTTCAATGAAAACGCTAAATTTAAGGGGTTTGTCAGAAACTCAGTGGGGGCCGAGGCGATTGAGCTTATCGCCGATTCTGTCGCGAAGACTAACATAAGCTCAGCGGCAGAATGGGCGAGACAGCATACACAAGCCTGAGAAGGCGGCCACCAGTATGTTGCGGAGAAGAATGGAAGCGGTTGAAGCGGTCTTTGCAAAGCCCTGGCAAAGTTCCTCCACACTTTCAAGCAGAGACTTGAGCCGATTCTCATTGATTTTTTCAGGAATAATCTAGCATTTCAAGCCACGCGTTCAATCACTATGCTCTTACTAATATTTTTTTCAAGCCCACTGGATATATAGAGTGGGACAGCTGAAAACCTAAGAGCGAAGTCTGAACCCCTGCAAGTGTTGTGCTGGATTCGAAGAAGCACTCCAGATGAGGCCGTGTTGAAGAATATTCTGTAGGTGGGGTAGGGTTGCCCACTAACATCACAGATGTGCTGTTTCACGGCTCGAAAGTTCGCGATAATGGCGCTAAAGCCTTACAAAGTGATCCGATAGCGAAAAAGGTGAACTTGCGGACGAGATTGTGTCCTGACCCCATCAGGGGCGGTATTCAATCCTTCCCCAGGGGGATATATCCCCCTACTCTGATTCAATCCTCTGGGGGGACAAAAAAGGGTTGCGTCATAGGACCTAGCATACCTCTGTGTTTCTACCTGCCAGACAGCAGCGCGACCCCTCAGGGAAAAGAGTGCTTCATCAGTGGAGGGTAGTAGCGCTGCTCTAACTGTCTGGCAGGTAGAAACACAGAGGTATGCTAGGTCCTATGACGCAACCCTTTTTTGTCCCCCCAGAGGATTGAATCAGAGGAGGGGGATATATCCCCCTGGGGGAAGGATTGAATACCGCCCCTGGAGGACGCCACGTGGAGTAGCGGCGTAGCTATTCAAATACGCGCAGGTAGTGAGGCCATGGAGCAGGCAACTTCGTATAACTCGTACGGCCCCACCTCTTCGTTATTTCGAGGTCCATTTTTGGTTAATGGCGTCCACAATTTCATTCTCGACCGCTATTACCCCACTGATTTGATCTGGGGTTGTTGCTTTGAGTGTATGACAGGGGACATTTATAAGGTCCTATTCTTGCCACACATGCCTCGCCGAAACGGTTTCCTGTGTTTTTGCCAGGAAAAACAACGGTGGTTTCGAAAAAAATTTTTCTTTTGAATATCCTGATTCTTTAAGACTTGAGGATATAAAAACACTAGAAAACATAGTATATCAATCTTTGGAGGGCGTTGCTCAAGCGAGAAAAAATAATGCACTAAAAATCGTTTCGGCGAACACTTTTGACCGTTGCTATATTCCCTTCATTACTACACTGCTTGCCTCTACTGCTACACCGTTTATTGTCACCTAACAAACCTACAAAATTTCTCTAACAAACTTGATACATTCAAAACAGGTCAACTCAAATACACTTAATTCCAAGACTAAAATTATGCGAAATATTAATAACAATAGGGCTTTCCTTTGTTTGGTAACCTCACTGGATCGACATGGAATGAGTAAAATTTCCCCTATCAGTTCGATGACTAGATAACGTCGGTTGCGTACCCGCTTTCACGATCGAATACGCAGAACTTTCGCGAAAAGGAGGTATATTCCGATGATGAGCAATTTCAAACAAAATCTACAATATCTTCACATCGACGGCTCATTCAGGGCAATCTATGATCTCTAGTAAGCTGCGTTTACATCTTTTCACCGCATGGTTTGCCAATAAAAGGGACGCAAACGCAGGCCTGCCAAGAGATCAACACAAATTCAGTCAGACAGATAGGAAATTCGATTTAAGAGCAAATTCCGTTCGTAGCCTACTCCCACTGTTCGTGACAAAATAACGAATTATCAGTAGACAGGACATGATCGGCTACAAATAAACGGTTCGCGAATGAAGAGGCAGTAAGGTACCGGCCTTCCTGCTATTTGAGGATCGAATACACCGGAAAATTAAGAATGCTAAGAATATGGCAGCATATAAGGAACATAATTACTCAGCTGAACGGCATACAAACAAGCGATTCAGATGACAAAAAGAAAATGGGCAGAGCCATCAAGTGAGAGTGGCGAGCAAATGCATGCCGACGCAATATGCACCACTTTTGGCTTGTTCTCACTGATGAATTAACATCTAAGTTGACTTAAATTCAAGGAAAAAAAATAATGTGACTATTACGCGGCCATAAATTTACACATCTCGAAGAAAGATTGTCACATGAATCATGAAATCCTATCTCAATTTCTCACAAAAAAAGCAGTTTAGTTGAATGAAGTCACACGTGACCTACCAGTAACGCCTCAGACTACCAACAGCAATGTACATTTTCTGGGCTCAGCCGTAGAGAATTTTACAACGCAACTATGTACAATCGTAGCGAAGCAATGACAAAATTTCAAGCTGGTTCTTCGAGCGATTTCTCGATTTTCTTCACGAACTCGATACAAGTAGCACGATACTGCTCCGGATGAGTGCGGAAGTGTTGGACATGTTCAGAATTCGCAAACATGACCTCGACAACATCGCGTCCCAAACTCTTTTGGTGCTCCAAAAACTTCTTCACATACCTGCGAGCAAAACGTTAACCAGAAAATATCGGTATTATTAATCAAAGCAAAGTCAACCCTAATCTCCAAGAGCAGAACCCAACGAATAGAGCACTTGGGGAAACTTCACATTAGTAAAAAAAAGCCCTCAATTATCGGTTAGAGGTAAGTGATTCACAGTGGCATGGAACACCTAAGTCCATCACTTGACGGATTCATTGACCAGTGAGCAGTTCTCCACTTCCTGCTCAACGAGTGGAATGCAGAAAATCTGTAGGGATCAGTGGTGGAGGTAATTCCTCCCGAATGCTCAGTTTGGAAAAAGGTGACCCCCTCACATTAGAGTGGGAGCAGGCATTGAAATCTACAGACTGATCTACCACAGCATTGAACTGCTTAATTAACAATCCACCACAAACTCCCCCACCCCCGTGTTCCTACGTACACGCTTCCACCTCCGATAAAGAATATGTCAGCCACCGAGGAGGGGGGAGGGTATGTGGCGGGTGAAGCGATGTTAGCTATCAACGGCAAAATTACGAGTGTTTCGAAGTTTCTCGAAGAATTTCCTGCTCATAGGTTACATACCTACCTCACCGAATACGAATCCCCCTTAAAAAATCACTAATGTGATCCTCCCCTCGTTGAGCGTTGCCCAAATTGTAGATCGAAGTAATAGAACCATACTTCCACTGGCAAACGGCGGTTTACACAGTAATTCCCTACCTTGTGCTTTGAAGCTTACGAATACCCACTGTTCCTCGGACAATACAACAATACTGATTGCTATATAGTATACTTACTTGTATTTGATTAACTTATCCTCCCTAGAATAAAGAAAGAGTTGTGAATTAGGGAGATCCGCACACTCTCGTAGGTAATAATACATGGAGAGATGAGGTCGAAGAGATGGAAAGAGAGCACTGACTGAATTTGCCTGAAAAATGTCCAGCCATGAGCTGTTCATCATGTATTGGCATAACAAGATTAACACGAGGACTAACAAAAGCCTTTCTGAGGTTGAACGCCAGCATGATCATTTGACGCCGCGTATCGTTGCTAACCCAAGTGAGCCCTTCCAATGGTGGCGTAGACACGACCACGGCGTGAGAATCTGGACCAGCACTTGTACGGGCAGGAGCGCTTAATACAGATATCACTTACAAGCCTACTACAAAATCAAAACGCCTTGAAGGTTCTGTACCTGTCGAATATAATGCCTTTGATTCGCTGTCGAAGATGTGTCATTCTTTCGGCCTCGGTCCATTTCCATAGTGATATCAAGGATCTTACACCATTCATTGAGAAGATGTGGCATATCAACGGACTATAATTGCGATGCCAAACGATGAATATGTGTCTAACGACAGCGATTACTGTCTTTTCTTAGGACAAGAAAGAAATCAACGGTTCCCTAGGAAGAATTCATCGAAACAATGAAAAACAGAGCTCCGAAAAGCGAAAAGGGATGCATCTGGCTTAACTGAGCTGTCGATTTTTATGTATAACTCATAATCGTACGGATGAGGTGCTTCGAAGGGTCTAGGAGGAAGAGAATACAACTAAAGGAAGGGATGATCCTCGAAAGTATCAGAAGTTGTCACTTGATGCTGAAAAATAGCTCCAACAACACCATTGCTTTACACCGACCTGTGTTTGAAACTTTCGAAATTTCCTGGCTTGGCATCGATTCCTCG